GTCCACTTCCTTGACGTCGGGCTACGCTACGCCATCAGTATCACGGTAACCAGCGATGGTACGAGACACAAAAAATTTATTCACATTTAAATGCTGGAGTGCTCTAACGATAACCGCTGGTGGTTTACCAGCGTGTACAAAGTAAAATGAGCCGTCACTGGAATAATTTTAACAGCTGTAAAACAAGTGGCTTAGAAATGACAGCAGTCTTAAATTGGTTGCACTTTTTTCATCTCACCCTGCATATATGGGAGCTATAGCTATATCTGAACCGATTTTTCACCAAATTTTATGTACTTGCTTCTAGATTTTTAAATTTGAACCGATTCTCACCAATTTCGATAGGGTTCGTCCTTGGGCCAAACAAATATTGTTTGGAAAATTGCATCTTAATCGGATAATAAATGCGACCCGCATTTTGTTAAGAAGAATACTTAGACAGATGGACGGACGGACTGGGATGCATAAATCGACTCAGAAAGTGATTCTATGAAGATCCTCAAAAGTAAGTATGGGCCTTTCTCGCTTCCTTTTCTATGTTGCAAACAAATGCACAAATACCTTAATACGGGTGCCACGATCGTTTCGGACAATCTCTTGCTGCAATCGATCTGGCAACCCAACATTCATCCACCATCATGACAGTATATAACTTATAAGAATATTTCGGATTGCATGGTGGTGTACAATAAGACGATTCATTGCTCTTCGAATGCAACCTGGGCAATAACAACAACAACATCAGCAGCAACAACAATATTCATCCACTTGAGAGATACAAAGAAAGATAATAAATTTTGTTTGTGTTAATTTCTTTATGTTTATAAGCAGTTCGGATGGCAAGAGGTGCCGCCATCACCGCCATAGCTACACACAACAAGGAAGGCAGCACTGCTGCTGTGTTGTGCCCGTGTAGTGGTGGTGGTGTTGGTGCTGGTGTTGCCTTTTTCGCCATGCACATGTTAAAAATCGAATACCAATTGTACACACACCTGAGAAAAAGAGTTGTCGTCGGCAAGAACACCATTTCCAAATAATAGACATTTTTATATACGTCAGGGTGATAATGAATGTGTATGGAAGGAATCGAGGCATTTTAAATGTGAGAAATTCATGGAGACCGCCTGGTAGCCAGTTGGAGATGTTTAAGATAGGTGGGCATTTAGTGTCCATGCTAACACTTTAAAACTGAAGAATCGATTTCAAATTCTAATTTTTTAACTAGTGGGTATTTAAAGTAGACATAGGCTTATAAGGAAAACAACGTAAAATTTCCTATAAAAAATGTAGTATAGCTCTGAAGAAACAACAAAAAATAATCCATAATTTATGCCAAAAAAAGTTTATTTTATTTGAATAAATGAAAATAACATATCTTTACTAAAATGAATAATTTTAATTTTGGCACATCCAACCGAATTCAGTTTAGAAGCAAGTACATCACATTTGGTGAAAATCGGCGCAGATAAAGCTATATATGTATATGTTTCATTCGATTTGGTATTTGAGTCCGATTTGGTATTTGAGTTCGTAATATGCACTCAACAAGAATGATATTTGGTACCAAATATCAGATACAGCCAAGAAATATATCTTCCAAATGTTATCAAGATCGGTACTGATTTGGAATAAGGTCCCATATACATTTTCGATTTCCGGTTAATTGTGCACGAAATTGTCAATATCAGTCCAAATGACATCCAACCGAATTCAGTTTAGAAGCAAGAACATCAACTTTGGTGAAAATCGCTTAAGATATCAGTATAACCATATATATATGTTTCACCCGATTGGGTGTATAAGACACTCACATTCTTAATATGCATTCGACAACAATGATATTTGGTACCAGATATCTTATAGAGGTCGGAAATAGCTTTGCCAAATTTTATCGAGATCGATTCAGATTTGGATATAGGTCCCATATATATTTCCTTAATCCGATTTCATGTTTATTGTGCAAATAATGGCTAGTATCTGCCCAAATGGGGTGAATTTTGGGACGTACTTTTCCATTTTGTGGAACTCTGCTCCGATATACGGGGTGAGATGAAAAAACTGCAACCAACTTCAGAATGCTGTCATATCTAAGCTACTCGTCCGACAGCTGTTAAAATTTTTCCAGTGACAACTCATTATATACAAAGCGAACAAAAGTATTTTTGTGAGAATTTTCCAGAAAAAAAAGTTATTCGTGATGGAGTTCCAGCGTAATAGTGTGATTTCTTTATATTTGGCTGGAAAACCACAAGTGGTTATCGTTAGAGCTCTCCAGCATTTAAATTTGAATAGATCTTTTGTGTCTCGTACCATCGCTCGTTACCGTGATACTGGTAGCGTAGACCGACGTCAAGAAAATAGACGAAAGAAATCAGCAACATCTGTAGAAATGGTTCGAAAAGTGAAGAAGCGACTTGATCGAACCCCGCGTCGCAGTGGCCAAAAAATGGCTAGTGAGCTGAACGTATCGCAATATTCCATTCGGCAATTATTGAAAAATGAGCTCGGGGTAAATTCCGGCCATTGAAATTCCAAAAAGTGCAACAACAGAAAGAAAATAGACTCAGACTCAAAAGAGCTAAGATTTGCTTCGCTTGGCCGAAAATGGTGAACTGCCGAATTTAATTTTTTCCGTTCCGATGAGAAAACATTCGTTGTCCAGCAGTTTGTAAACAAACAAAATGATTGTGTTTACTTGCCAAAGAGGTCAGCTGAAAATGTGCACCTTCGGTTGGCCACCAGAACTCAAACGCCGGCCATGGTGATGGTGCGGGCCGACATAAAAGCCGATGGTCGCTCCCCGCTCGTATTAATCGACCGTGACCACCAGACCATCAGAATAAATGCCGAATATTATCGGGAAAAGATTCTGGTCCAAGGCCGCAGACCTTTGGCATTCCAACAGGACTCAGCACCATCGCACTCAGCACGCGCCACCCAAGAATGGTTACAAAATGAGGTTCCTCGCTTCATTGCCACCAAAATCTCCGGATACCAATCCGTTGGACTATTGCGACTGGAGTATTTTGGAAAGGTTGGCACCCAAAACTACCAAAGTGTCGATCACCACAAGCAAGCGCTTCGCCGGGAATGGGCAAAAAAACCGTGGAACGGTTTCATTGGCCGTTTTAAGGCCATAATTCGTGCCAAAGGTGACCAATTCGAACAAATCTAAACTTATTCTAAAATTTGATGCTATTTCTGACATTTTTTGCTTTCAATCAATAAAATTAAAAAAAAAATTAAAAATGATGGCGTTTGACTTTGTTGCAGTTTTTTTATCTCACCCTGTATATACTTTATGGGGTCTACGACGAATATTTAGAAATGACAAAGTTAATATACCCTCCTTTTCAAGGTGGAGGAGGGTAATAAGTAGTGTATACGTACACTTTATTGGCCCACTATAAAGGACCAGGTATTTTAAAGACTTCAGTCAGAAAAAAGTTGGCTCTGCATCATTTACATCGAGATTCTCTCACCAGATCCACTGACAACTCCGTGACTACTGATTAAATTCGCAGCTATCCACCATTTCTATTGGGCGTTGCAACATCCTCAACCTGGGAAGGCTTTCTTTAGCTATCGGCTATGCTCCCCGAAAGTGAAATTCAGGGACAGAGTTTATCCCTTTCTGTGGAAACGGTGTGCATTGAGCCTTCACACAGATGGATGGTTGGTTGGATGGAGTATTGCTTGGTCATTATTTTGTGGAGACCCCTTCTTTTTCTTTTGCTGCTTTTTTATTTTCATTTTTTTTTTTTTGTTTTTTGGTTCTCTCACTCTCTTGCCACTTTAGGATTCCCTCTGTCCATGACAATTGAAAGGTTTAACGATTGTCTTTTTATTTCTCATTCTTTTGTTTTCTTGAGAGCGTGTAAAGTGCGAGGAGAAGAAGGAGGAGGAGGTGATGTCTGTCCTGTTGGTCAAATGCAGCATTGTTGTCGGTGGTGGCGGCGGCTTTGTTAATGTATTGGTCTCTTAAATGAATGACTTGGTTAGTAGTAGTTGTTGTTGCTGTTGTTGTTGTTGGAGGTTTTCATTTCGTTTTTCTTTTCTTTTTATTTTGGGTTCAGATAAGATATGCCAGACACGGTAGACATTGTGGCGACATGCTAGTCTGCTGATTGTCTTTTGCCGTGCCGTGCAACTCCACACCACGATGTCTGCTAAGCTGGGCAAGAGTAGAACTTTGTGTGCTACCCGCCATGTGTTTTTATTTTTTGTTTTGTAGACTTTCGTGGGACCAAAAGGCAAATTCACAACGGCCAAGGCATGGCAATGCAATTGTTTATTGGATGGATGGACATGGGTAGCGTGGTTCGTAGTTTTGGCCGCAACATACATGTGTCTGCAGGTCTTGTTGAACGTCAGAGAATGCAGCCTGCCTGCCCGGCTGACTGACTGACGAACTGCCTTGCCTTGTGTGTGACTAAGAGCAGCGTTGAACAACAGACATAGGGGCGACCGACCACAGAAGTTCATCGTAGCTGGGTATTGTGCTGGACTGAATGTTGTTGCCTTTGAATGTGGTAGTTGTTGCTGCCTGTCTGCATGCATCTAACAGATAACCAAGCCAGCCAGCCAACAACGCGTTATATTTTAGCCAAGGTTGGGTCGTTGGTTTGTTTTTTAACTCAGTTGTGCTCCAGTCGTTGTTAAGTTCACAGCATTTGCGCGTTGTTGTCGGCCAATACGATCGCGTTTTAGTTGTGTTGTGTCGCATAAGAAAAAAGAAAAATCGTTGTGGATATTGTTTTTATTGTCTAGTGTGCAGAATATTTAAATTTTTATTGTTTTATTTATGTTGTTTATAATATTTACAATTTAATACCAATAGTAATAAACGTTGGGCGCCACTCACACACGCACGACACCTTAAGATTGATTAGAGGTAGCTCGCAATTCTTTATGAAAGTGAATTGAATATTTTTTGTGCAGTTTAATAAATAACTAAATAAAAATAGTACTGACTTCCACCATTTTCTTTGCGATTTCAGTTGATTTTAACGAATTCCTACACCGAAACAAATCACATGGATATTTACAATACAAAATCGGAATTGAACACTAGAAACTGTAAATAATAAAGGAAATACAAGAGAAATAATAATATATTCTGCTATTATCAAGTGATCTAAGGAACGTGAAACAGACGTCGAAGGAAGGAACCTACTTAAATTCGAAAGCCTCGTATTCTGGACATTATGATATTGAGAAGTGTTTTCCTGTTTGCAATTTGTATGCGTTTCGTTTATGGTGGAAATGTTAAGCGACCCGAATTAACGGTAAGTTGAAATAATTAATATGACATTGGCGTATGCGATTTTAAATGGAAAAGTAGTTTTCAAAAAAAAAAAAAAACATTAAGTTCGGCCTGGCCAACCAAGTGATGCCCTACAATATTACAATATGTTCGAAGTCCCCTTATGTCCAGATTCATTTTGGAAGATTTCATTTTTGAAATAATGTTAAAGAGCTCTGGCCAGATGTTACCCTTAGCTTTTTGAGCCGGGCAAGTTGGCCAATATTTACGCACTCCGTCGTGTTGTTAGGTATTCAAAACAATTTCACACGAAGAACAGTAGACTTTAATTCTGATCCTAACCCGACCCCCATGCAAAATTTGGTGAGAGTCGGACGATAATTTCGACATGTATGTAATACTCTCGGGGTATAAAAAATTAGAAAATTACAATTCACCTTTTTATTGGTATATTTTCCGCAATTTTCTTCAATTTTCTTCTGGCAAGATACCATTGCGGATTGATGGAAATTGTGAAAATCGGCCCAGTGGTTCTTGACTTATAAGCAGAATAAATAAGATACGTTTCTTTTACATATATATCTTGTACCTATTTTGCTATATATCAGCATCACTTTAATGGTCAGAAGTGACCTTTTAATGTATTTGTGATTTTGCCGGAATTAAAGATATTCGCGGTTTAGTGGAAATTTTCGTATTTTCTTACATAAAAGTTAGGGTCTATTTTACCCGCTAAATATTGCGTCGATTGGTTCATAATTGCCTATAGAGCAACTTCGTGAGAATCGGGCCATAATTGCGACCTGTAGCTTGATTACAAATTAACATGGACAGATAGACGGATGAACAGACATGCATAGTTAGATCGACTCAGTTCGGCGAGATAGGAAGATCCATATGTAGGTTTGTATGTAGGGAACCAATATTTCGTGGTGTTACATAATTTTTGGCTCAACCAAACACATAGTGTTGTAGGGTATAAAGATTAACTTCGGCCGGGTCGATTCTCCTCTGGGTAAAGAGAACATGTTTTTATAAAAGTATCTGAATTCAAATGTGTTCCACTTTAAACTGCAAATACCAGTAAGTCTGTTTGGATAATGCTGTTTAATCATAAAGTGGGTGAGGCCCTTGAATGGGAGCTATACCAAAACGAGAACTTTTATACTTCAAGGATTGTTATCTGCCAAATTTTCTAAAATACCAAATTAGAAACAATTTCGTGGGTAAATGTGACTAGGATTATCAAAATACCGAATATCGGGATGTACCGTTATATGGGGGCTATACGAAAACGGAACATACTATATTCCGCCACAGGAGCTAGAACCCGTTACAAACTACAAATACAAATTTGTGGAAAAATCCGTGGAAAAATGTGGCAAAAATCATCAAAATACCGAATATCGGGAGATACCGTTATATGACGTAACCAATACTAGAGAGGATTTATATCATTTGATTCGGCCAAAACGTGTCTAGTCGAAATTTAGACCCTAGGTCCAAATCCGTTTAAGGACATTTGGAGTCGATCTAACGATGTCTATCAGTCCGGCTGGTACGCACGATTTAATCCAAACTAGTTACATCGTAATGTTATTGTCAAACCTAGATCGAGTTCGGAGATGGGCAGTATCGGTCCACCCCTTCTGGTACCTCCCCAACAAAAGGTTGAAATTTCAAAAAAATTTATTTTACTGCACAGAAAGAGAAATGATAATCCGATTTTGATCAATATATGCATCAGTGCTAGGTCAGGTGGGAAAATGGACAATATCGGTCCGAACCATCAAGTACCTCCCCCACAAAGTGTCAACATTTTGAATAATTACAAGTCTTATGTGTTATACTCATCACAATATTTTTATTTACCCAAGGTCTGGTGAGTAGATGGAATATATCGGCCCACTCCTTCTGGTAGCTTCCTCACAAAGGGTCACAACCATATAGCTCGTACAACGTGAAATAAGCATCTGATTACTTTGAAATTTCGTACATCTCAATACATCTACGTAAGCAAGATCTGGTGTGAAGATGGTAGATATTGTATCGCTCCTTCTGGTCCCTTCCCCACAAAAGGTTAAAATTTTTAATAATTATAACTTTTATAAAATTTTAACTAAGGGTCCGATTATCTTCAAATTTCGCATTTCCATATTTCCACTAACACAAAGGTTAATATGAAGAAGGGACTGAACGGGCCATTTCTTCTGGTACCTCCCCCATAAAAGGTTAAAATTTGGAATAACCATTAGGCTCATAAAATGAGGGAAATGAGCATCCGATTACTTTCAAACTCGGCACATCCCAAAACTTTTAACAACACATTGTTTTGTGAGGATGGACAATATCGGTCTACCTCTCCCACAACGGGTCAAAAATTTAAATAATTGTAACTCTCATAAAACGCAACTTTTCGAAATATTATGAAATATGTAATTTAAAGTGGAACAATTTGTCGATATCGGCTACGTTTTAATATTTCCATCAGACTTATGTCAGATACGAAATGGAAAATATTGACCCACTCCTTCGGAACCTCTCATATGACCTGTTGACCCGTCATAACGCAAGTCAAAATATATTTAAATAACCGAACATTGGGGCTGAGAATATGTAGCTGTCGGTAATACCGACTGATTTCATTTAAGTTGTTTTTTATGTTCTTAACCGAACATAATAAATTAATTTCTCACAAATGCGAGGAATACAAACAGATTAGGGTAAAACAAATAACTACTTCATAAACTTCACACCCTGATCTTAAAAGGGATTTATATAGGTTGGTTTTTTCAACATTTAGATTGGCGATAAAAAGCAGGGTACAATAAGAGGTGAGGAGAAGGACAATCAATTTTTTTTTTCAAAATAAAAATTCCCAAGCTTTGGAGAAGAAAAAATGGTCATGTGTTGTTGATGGTGGCGGTGTTTGGTTGAAGCAGCAGAAGATATGTGTAAATCCCAAGAAAACACTTCAATATTCCAGGTATTGGATGTGTGTCCACCACCATCATCACCACCACCACCATCAGAACCATTCTATGTCGCACAAATCATGCCAACGAAATGTGACTACAAATTGTCTGTGGGTATTTTAGCAGAAATGCTGGATGCGATTCAGCGCTGCGTTGCGAGGAGTCTTGCATTTGTGTGACAACAAGAACAACATTGTTCTACCTTCGTCGTACACACCTATGAACGAACGTATGTATGTTTTGTACTCTACACCTGAACGAGCGTGTGTTTTGACGAGGATACACTTAGCTGAAGAAAACTAAAGTGTATGGTTGGTTGTGGAGGAGGGGGTAGAGAATGAAACAACGAGACACGGTCGGTTGCTGTGGCACATTCTTCATTCGCGACTTTTGTTTTCTTTCTTCCACCAAATCGCCGCCTTCTTTGCTTTCATAAACCAAATATATGAAAAGAGAAAAAACAGAAAAAATAAATAATCTGATTCAATAAAAAATATTCGCTATTCATTGCATACATTATATGATATTCTTCTTCGTCGACTTAAACAACATGACATTTTTGGTATGCAACAGCAACGAAAACACGATAAAAGGATTAAAACCGAAATAACGAAGAAAGAAGAAGACATTCAAAATGTAGTTTATACATAGCAGAGCTTCCAGAATAAAATATTTGGATATTTGTTTTATCGGCATTAAATCTCTCCTTTAGATGTTCGCTCATGTAAATTATATTTTTTTTTTTGAGCTTTATTTTGGATTTTATAATCGTTTTGGTTATTCAATATTTTGAACCACTTTGGGGGGAGGTACCAGAAGAAATGGACCGATCTCTACCATCTTTATATCAGATCTTGTGTTGATGAAATTATTGAGATTTACCAAGCCTGAATGGAATCGGATGTTAATTTCGTGCTTCATGGTATTCAAAATGTTTACCCTTGGTCGGGGGAGGTACCAGAATAAGTGAACCGATATATATAACAGATCATGAGTTGATAGAAATATTGAGATGTGCCACGTTGAATGGAATCGAATGTTAATTTCGCGAGTTATGAGCTTCATGGATATTCAAAATGTTGACCCTTTGTGGGGGAGGTACCAGAAGGAGTGGACCGATATATTCCACATTCATAGCAGGCCCTGGGTTAAAAAAAAATTTGTTATGTGTGTTATTTGAAGGCAATCGGACCTTTATATCACATTTTATAAGAGTTATTATTCAAAATGTTGACCCTTTCTGGGGGAGGTTGTTGAAGCAAAATCGGATTATCGTTTGTTCTTTTGTGCAGCAATTTTTTTCGACCTTTTGTTAGGGAGGCGCTAGAAGGAGTGTATCGATATTACTCATCTCCGAACTCGATCGAAGTTTGATAATAATGTTACGATTTACCAAGTTTGAACCAAATCAGATACTCCCTTCGAGAGTTATCGTGCGCATCAACCAGCCAGACGGACGAACATCACTAGATCGACTCCAAATGCCCTGAAACTAGATCGACTCCAAATGTCCAAGACCTAGGGTCTAAAACCTTTATTTCGATGAGGCACGAAATAAACCTCAGCCATATGACTGAGGGTATAAAAATGTAGATCCATTTGGTATGACCTCCATATAACGATACCGACCGATTTAGGATGTTTTAGTCCTAGTTTTAAATCGAATTTGCTGTAAAGTGGTAGTTCGTGTTTCCAAAATAGTTCCAATTTTTGATAAAGTCCCTATATAACAGAACCTCCCGATATTCGGTATTTTGATTAATTCCGTCTATTGTGAATCATATCTGTCACTTTTTTCAGCAGAATTGTTCCTAAGTTGGTGTTTGGAGTTCGTAAAGGTAGAACCTTCTATGCTGGAAAATTATCCATATACGTCACATTCTTTACCGAAACTGTTTCAGATGTGGTATTTACAGGGTGAGATAAAAAAAACGGCATCAAAGTTAAACGCCATAATTTTTACATTTAAACAAAAAATTATTGAATGGAAGCAAAAAATGTCGGAAATAGCATCAAATTTTAGAATAAGTTTAGATTTCAGCTTTGG